TCATCGGTTAAGAACCGCCCTCAGAACCCGAGGGGTCTTTCCGTCTCAGATTTCAATTTTATCTGAATGTTTTGATCGAAATATACATTAGCTAAAACCTATGGATCTAGCTGGATTTAAAGGAGTGTAAGACACGATGGCCGAGCGGTCTAAGGCGCTGGTTTTAGGCACCAGTCTTCGGGCGTGGGTTCGAATCCCACTCGTGTCATAATTTTGTCCCATATCTTCCTAACCATAAGCTTGTTCGTCCCAGAAGTATTGCCCATTACAGTTACTTTGCCCTCTATGTTAGACTTCTATTAGACTTCTAAAACAGACTTAAACTTTCACTAAATCCGAGTTTGTATGACACATGTGAGCTCTATTTCGATTTGACTCTGATGTAGCGGTCTGGCTTGCCAACGGAGGCATCGTTTTTGCCCTTCGGACAATTCTACGTTTCGAGCTCACAGCTAGCGTTTGTGCAGGAGATACGAGTTTATAACTCAGAGCATCAAGCTACAACACGGCGTTTTATAAATCAGAGTCAACCCTTCTAGCCCCAGGTTTTATTCGCGTGTTAATGCACGCGTAGACGACTCTTGCTTTCTATTTGACATAGGCAGTTATGAGCTGCACTCTGTGTTGACATGCGAATATATTCTTGTTTTGCGTCTGGGGTAGGTGATATTTATGTCATTGGTTAGTTCACCAGAAATGTTGCCATAATAGCTGCATGGGCTTCTTGTCTTTGAATATAGTAAATTATATAGCACCGTACATACTCTTCAATCTGTAATGCATAAGCACAATGTTCTTAAACTCAACAGGACAACATCGCTGAGGCAATCTTAAAACTGGACAGTTGAAGCTTTCGGTTTCTAAAGGTAGTTCTATTTTCTTGCCAAGCACTCAGGAATTGGGGAATCCCTGTTCGCCAGGGAGATCAGTACCCAAATGACCTCCACCAAGCCATCAATGGACCGCCTAGACGCCTTCAGTACGATACCGTATTTTGTCATAAGCAGTAAGACAAATATATAAAATGTAATTTTGAAACATCTAAAGTCGTTGTCGTCGTCGGCGTAGTGTAGTGGTTATCACGTCTGCTTTACACGCAGAAGGTCGCCGGTTCGAACCCGGCCGTTGACACACTTTTTCGAGTGTCGTTTTTGTAAATTCCGGTCAAATTTGCCGATGCTGGCCCATCCTCCAACCTGGGTTGAATCCCTCGATACAAAAATCAAGATATTTCGG